TGCCCTGGGGCAAGTTTGAATGTTATGGGATAAATTTGAATATTGCTGTATGAGTCTGTCATATAGAGGAATCTAGGTGTTGTACAGTATATCTGTGCGGGAGGGGGGGGACAGTATATCTTGTGTTGTATCGTATATCTTGTATGTTGTGCAAGATCAGAGGAAAATCTTTGTGTTGCAAAAGCTAGGTCTCTGCAGGGCCAATCTGCATTTAGGAAGAGTATTTTCAGTATGGAGAATGTAACTGCTATGAGGCCAGTCTAGGGAGTCTGGGCCTTGGGAGTGGGGGAACCTGGATGTTCTGTTGCAAGTTGTGAGTGAATGTGACTGATATTTATGTACGTTAGGAGTTTTGTCTGAGTGCTCTCCAGCACCTCAGACTTGTGCTGCGAGTCTTGGCATTGTAAAAGCAAGAAGTTATTTTATGAAGCTAGTCTGCCATTGTGGGGTAAATCCAAGTGTCATGGGATTAGTCCTGTTATTATGTAACAAATCTGGGTGAGGAATGCTTTGCCTGTAAGGTTTTGTTGTTGTTGTTGTTGTTATTGTTGTTGCTGTTTTATTATCACATGTGCTCTGTGCATTTCTCTGTTCTGTGAAGCTAGTCTTTTTGTCATAGAGGCAAAAATGGTGTTTATGTGGTCAGTCTGTATGTTGTGGGATAAATTCATATATTTAGGGGCATGTGTACATATTGTGGATATTATCTCTGTGTTATTGGACCAGTCTGGGTCTCATGGGGTGAGTCTGGGTGTTGTGGGGCAAGTCTGGGTGTTATGAGGCATGCCAGTGCACTGTGGGCTTTTCTGTGTTTTGTCCACTGTTGCTATGTGCTGTGAGGCAAGTCTTGATGTTGTGAAAGCAAAAAAAAGAAATGCTTTTTGTGGCCAGTCTGTGGGTTGTGAGGAGCCTTTTGGCAGTGTGCCATTACTATGTGTTGGGGGGCAAGTCTGGGTTCCCAGGCAAGTCTGGTTGTTGGGAGGTGTTTGAGTGATATGTGGTGTTTCTGATTTTGTGGGACAAGTCTGGGTGGGGTGGAATTTGTTTAGGTGTTTGGGGGTGAATCTAGCTGTCATAGGTGAATCTGACTGTTATGAGATGAGTCCAGGTGTGCCACGGCATATCTGTGCCTATGTGTTTTTTCCTATAGGTTATCCAACATTTCTGTGTGTTCTGAACCATGCTTTAACATTGCTAAGGCAAGTAACTATGGAGTCAGTCTGTGTTACTGGGAGAGTTTGTGTATTATGGAGCATGCCATGTGATGTAAGGTATGCTCTGGTGTTGCAAGGCATGTGTGCTTGTTGTGGTGCATATTACGGTTTTGCAGTGCCATTCTGGGTGTTGTGTGGCAAATCTGGGTGTTATGGGGACACATATTGGCATTGCAGGCTTTGTCTGTATGTCTTCCAGCATTTCTGTGTGCTCTGAAAAAAAATCTTGGAGAAAAGCAAACACTTCGGGGGGTCTTTCTATGTGCTATATGAATAGTCTAGATATTATCATGGCAGTCTGGTTGCTATGGGACAAGTCAGGCTATCACAGGTCAAGTCTGCCTGTTGCAAGGTAAGTCTGGGTAACATGGTGTAATTAGGGCTTTGTGGGGAAGGTCTGGATCTCATGTGCTAGTCTGGGTGTGTTAGGGTGAATCTCTGTGTAGGTGTGTCGTGGTGAGATTGGGTAAGTGTGTTACAGAGTGACTTTGGGTGTTGTAGGGCATGTCTATGTATTGTGGGGTTTTATGTGTGTTTTGCTCAGCATTTCTGTGTGCTCTCACCTGAGTCTTGGTGCTGTGGAATCAAAAACCTACTTTTCAGGGCCAGCTTGTGTTGTCTGGAGATTATGTATATTATGGGGCATGTTCATGTATTTTGGGGAAGGCTTGGGTTTCACAGGGTGAGTTTGGTTGTCATGAGGTAATTCTATGCCACTTGGGGCAAGTATGGGTATGTTGGGGCAAGTCTAGACTTGTGAAGCATATGTGCAATTGTAGGAATTCTATGTATTGTCTAGCATTTGTATGTTTTGGGAGGTAAGTGTTGGTGTTGTGTAGCAAGAAAGTATTTTGTGAAATCAGTCATTATGTTGTGGGAAGTATTTGTATATTTGGGGTTATTTCCATATGCTATGGCTCCTGATTGGGTGTTCTGGAGCTAGTCTGGGTGATGGTGGCTATTCTGTGTATGGCAGGATGAATCTCTGTATTTCAGATGAGTCTAGGGGTTATGGGACAAGGCTGGTTGAAATGGGGTATCTGTGCCTTGTTTGTTCTATGTGTATTTTCAGCATTTCTTCTGATGCTAGTCTAGGTTTGTAGAGGCAAAGAAGTGTTTTATGGAGACAATTTGTGTGTTAAGGGTTGAGTCTGTGTGTTGTTGGTTTTATCCCTGTGCTGTGGAGCATGGGTTGCAGGCTAGTCTGATGTTTGGGGTGTGAGTCTGTATGATGTGGAGTTGATCTGGATGTTCCAGGGCAAATCTTGGTGTTGCACAGTAAGCCTGTGTGCTGCTATGTTTTTCTCTGTGTGGAACATTCTTTGTGGAATGTGCTGCTATGAGGGAAGTTGTGGCAGGAAGAGGTTATTTTGTATGTCCAGTCTGTGTGTGGTAGGGAGACAATGTTGATTACAGAGTATTGCCATATGTTGTGACTCAAGGCTGGCAACTGTGAGTCAGGTTTGGGTGATACAGGGTGTGTCTGGGAGAGATGGAGCAAGTCTGTGTGTTATGGAGAATATATGTGCATTGTGAGATATTTTAATGCATGTTGTCTGACATATCCATGAGGCAAATCTTGCTGTCGTATAAGCAAGACAGTGTTTTGCTGTGTATATGCTAGTATGTATGTCACAGAGAGAATCTGTGTGTTGTGGGACATGTCCTGGTTTCTCGTGTTGTGAGGCTACTATGCTCATTGTAGCCAAGTATATGTGGTATGACAAAATTCTGTGCATTAGAGAATTATTTCTAGGGATTTTGAAGTGAGTTCTCTGTGTTGTGGAGTTGATGAGGTGTACTGTATTGTGAAGCATGTATGTTTATGATAGGGTACATTTAGGTGAACTGGGATAAGTCTTGCATGGATGAGTTTGTGTATCATGGGTACGTTTGTGTATTGTAGTGTGGTCTAGGTGCTGTGTGATGAGTCTGGGTGTTATGCAGAGACTATGTGGTAGATGCTTCTGGGTGTTGTGGGCTAGGTGTAGCCAATATGGACGTAATATGGAGAGTAGTGACAGTGTGAGTTGTGAAGTGATGGTGTGATTCTGTACTTTATGGAGGATACTCTTGTTGTGGGTTAATTTTAGTTGTTTTAGATTGAATCTTACCACTATGGTCCAGTTCTACGTGTAGTAACAACAACAATAATAACAACAACAAGATCAGTTAACATCAGTAACACATTCTTTACCAGGCACTATTCTAAATACTTCATAGGCATTAACTCATTTATTCCCTTTAACAGCTGTATGAGATAGGTATCATTATTATTCCTAATTTATAGCTAGGAAAACTAAGACACGGAGAGGTCAAGAAACCTTTCCAAGGTCACACAATTAATAAATGATGCATATGGGATTGAAACCCAGGCAGTCTGAGTCCTGAGTGTAAGCTTTTAACCATAGAGTGTAAGCTTTTAACCTAGATATTGTGCGCCAAGTTCTGTATTACGTGGGTTGACTTTGCACGAGTTGAGACTAGCATCTTTGCCTTGTGACAGTTTGGGCACTGTGGGGTAGGTTTTTGCATGGTGAGCCTGGCTTTGCCTTGTGTGAGTCTGGGTGTTTTAATGCAAGTCTGCATGTTGTGGGATGAGTTTGTGTGTGTGTGTGTGTGTGTGTGTTGTTTATATGATGCTGTGCATTTAGAAGGGTCTGTGTTACAGGGAATATCTCTGCATGGTAGGAGTTATCTAGGTATTACAAAGCAAATCTGTGTGGTGTGGGCCATTTGGTAATATGTGTGGTAGTGTTCTGAAGTAAGTCAGACTTATGGGCAAGTTAGGAGATGTGGGGCACATAGTTCTTTATGGGTCAAGCATGGCATAAGGGTAAGTAAATGTATTGGAGGAGAGGGGTTCTGCATTATAGTGTGTTGCTGTAAATTTAGAAACATGTTTGTGAATAGTAGGTGTATCCAAATGTTATGGGACAAAAATCTGTGTGTGGTAGGATGTCTTTGTGTGATTTAGGGCATACTTTTGTGTTTAGGGTGTATATGCGTGTTGTGTGGTGGGTCTGTGCCTTATGGGATGGAGCTGGGTATTGTGCATCCTGTCTGGGTATTGTGGAGTGAGTCTGTGTATTATGGAGCAGTCTGTGCATTGTAGAGCAAATTTCTTAATTGTGATGCAATTCTGTGTGTTGTGAGTGGTGTTTGGTTTAAGGCTCTGTCTGTGTAGAGTGTGCAGGTGTTATGTTGGGATGTCTGTGTGCTATAAAGAGTTTCTAGATGTTCTGGGGCTGGTCTATGTATTATGCGACAAATCTTCGTGTGGTCAGATGATTCTAGGTATCTGGGGTAAGCCCTTTTTGCTTTAGTAGAAATGGTGGTGGTGGAAGTGGGGAGGTGATTGTAATATAAATGAACAATTCTACTAGTTCCTATGTGCCAGGCACTATACTAAGAACTAAACATATCTTAATTGATTTCTTATTTACAACCCTTGAAGTTGGTAGTATTCTTATCTTTGTTTTACAGATGAGGAAACTAAAGAACAGAGAAATATACTTACCCAAGGTGATACAATTAGCAAGGGATGGGATCTGGATTCAAATCCAGATAGTCTGGCTTCAGAGGCCTTTCTCTTAACCATTACACAGCTGTATCTCTATTGTAGGCCAGAGTCGTAGCTCAATAGTATGGTAAAGCATGTCTGCCCACTATGATAAAAATCTTTGCATTGTAGGGGTAATATTTATGTTGTGTGTCTACACATAGGGAACTATTTATGTGCACTGTAGGTTTTGCACTGTAGAGTAAGTCTGTGTTGTGATGCAATTCTGTGCATTGTGGAAGGAATCTATGTGCTTACAGGCATGCCTGTGAATCCTAAGGCATGTCTAACTGTTGTGGGTGTGATTGGGTATGTTATGGGGTAAGACTGTGCCCTTAAGGGCTTGTCTGTGCATTTAGGGTGAGTCTTGGTGTTCAGTGATGTTTGTGTGAGTCATGAGGCAAGTCTGTATATTGATGGAAGAACCTGCATTTTGGTGGAGTTCTGTGCATGGTTGGGCATATCTTGTTTTGTAAGCAGCAGTGTGAGGAGTGAAAATAGTCTCTGTGCTTTGGAGTAAATCTGAAAGTTGGTACAGCAGATGGTTTCATGTGTTTTGGGGCATGTGTTTGCACTGTATAACCACTGTAAGAAGTGAGGTTTTTGTGAAATAAATCTGTGTGGCAAGTGTGTGTTGTGACACAATTCTGAGCACTATGGGGGGTGGAGTATTGTGCTGTGAGATGTGTTTGTATTTTGTGGGTTGCATCTATGTTGTGGGATAAGTAAGAGTATTGTGTATCACATCTGTGACTGTGCCCTAAGGGACGGGTCTGAATACTTTAGAGAAAGTGCTGCAGTGGAACAAGTCTGCCCATTGTAGAGCCAATTTTCATGATGTGATGTCATGTTGTGCATTGTGAGGTATGTCTATTTATCACAGAGTATATCTGAGGAAATTGAGGTATATTTTCATAATATAGGACCACAATGTGTGTTGTGTGATAACTGTGTGTTTGGGAGGAGGTCCAGATGTTGTAGGGTAAAGAAAGCACTGTGGGGTAAGTATTTGTGGAGAGAGTCTGCATGCTCTAGGGTGAATCTGTGTGCTGTGAGTAGAGACTTTGTTCTGTGGTGAGAGTCTGTGTGTTGTGGGGCAAAGCTGTTTGCTCTTGTGAGGGTCAATGGAATGTGAGAGGGGTCTGTATGCCCTGGGGAGAGTTTCAACTATAGGTTTAGTCAGTGGGGCATAGGAAGAGTCTGTTTGTCATGGGGAGAATCTGTGCACTGTGGGAAGAATCTGTGTGCTATGGGGAGTATCTGTGCATCTTGGGGAGAATCTGTGTGCTATGAGGTGAGTCTTTTGGCCTTGAAAATATGTGTGCTCTCTGGAGAATCTGTGTTCTATGAGGTGAGTCTGTATGTTCTGTGTGCCCTGGGAAGGGTCTGTGTGATGTGGGGACAGTCTGTGATGCTGAGATTGTCTGTGGGTCATGGGTAGAGTCTTTGCCGGGGGGTTAGCTTTTGTTATGTGACGTGGGTCAATGTTTCTCAGGTGAGCCTCTGCGTTGAGGAGAACGTGTGCCTCTGAGAGAGTCTAGTGGTATAGGGAGTGTGCATGTGCTCTGCGGCAAGTCTTTCTGCTGTGGTGCTTGTCTGTGTGGCTTGGGGCGCATCTGTGTGCCGTAGGACAAGTCTGTGCACTGTGGGAAATCTGTGGGCTGTAGGGGCAAATATGTTGTTTGCACCATGTGGCCAACGTGGGCATTAGTGGGTGAGATTGTACATTGCGGGCACAAGTCTGTTTCCAGGCAAGTCTCTGTTAATATCTACAAATAACAATAGATAACATTTATATAATGGTTACTGTGTACCAGACACTGTTCTAAACGTGCTATTATTATCCCCATTTTACATCCGAGAAAACTGAGGCACAGAGAGATTAAATAATCGTCCCATGGCCATTCGATTAGCAAATAATGGAGGTTTGAAACCAGGCAGCCTGCTTCCTTTGCCCACACTACTATGAATCCCCTCAGAGCCCTGTGGGCATCAGTGACCTCAAACATTAAAAAGGCTTCGTGGTCACTGGTGAACATGTTGAGAGCAGTTGCGTTGGGAGGAAGAAAAAGGCACTGGCTCAAAGCCCTCCCAAAATTAAAAATAATGCAATACTCTGTATATCATAACAGCAGTTTAGCACAGAAGAACTGGCGTCATGTCTGCAGAATGACTCCTTCCGCCAGTGCAGCCCCCAAGACCCCTCCCCTGGCTCATAGCCACATTCTGCTACTGCAGAGGAGCGAATGCGCATGCCCCGGTGAGCTGCGTTTCCTGGGAAACCATTCGCTAGTCATAAGCAAATCACAGCCTAATTTGACAAGTCAGAAAACGACTAGTGTTGTGGCTGTGAGCCAAAGAAGCCCCATGCCATAACGGCGGGCAAGGCAGAGCCCCACTCATGCCCCCTCCTCCTTTTCTTTCTTTCAGAATTAGTAAAGGCTAGGACCAGGGTCAGAAGTCAACAGAGAAAGTGTTGGGGTCAGAAGAGTCAGCAGTGGGTAGCAGGTGATTTTAATTGTCACATCTTTCTGTGGGCAATACTCGTACTTAACCCATCTGCTACTAAAAGCCTCCATGCTTTATGTCTTGAGCCTTCTACCTGCTGTGAAAAGAGGTGCACTATTGGAGTGTTTTCTAGAAGAGACGGTGGCAGAGGTAGCATGGATTGGTACTTTCCCTATCTCCTTTAAATCCCTAAGTCAGACTACTGCCAGCCATAGGCTGGCAAAATTATTTATTTCTGCTCCTCATACATTTCTTACATCTTTCTAGAAAATTCCAGGAAATGAGTCCAGACAGCTTTAACTCTCCAAGTACCTGAGGAATAAAAAAAGAGGTTGAAAGGAGAATCTTAGGACTAGCATTTACCCTGGGAGTGTTTTTTTTACACACACAATTGGGATGTCAAGGGTGTCCAAGAGGAATAGCACATCTGGAACAGTGGTTTTAGATATTTGGTTTCCTCAATTTTAATTTGTAAAAAGCATGTAACAAAAATACCATTTTTAAATATTTGAAATGAAGAAAATCCTGTTTGAAAATCATTGCCCTAAAATGTGTGTGCCTAGGATTCTTGAAAGGCAAGAGAATTAACATGATGCTTTAGTATGTTACCGGAAGCTGCAAGAAGGTAGGAGTACTATTGCAGAATGTAACCATCTTGAGCAGAGAGAAAATGGCCGACCTGTGGAAAGCTACACCCTATCTAATGGGAGAACAGTTGTTGCCATTTCAAACCAGTGGAAGAAGGTTGGATTACTCAACAAATGATGCTGAAATAATTGGTGACCTATTTGGAAAAAAAACAAAACAAAAATACAAAATTAGATACTACTTTATACAACATATCAAAATTAATTCTAGATGGATTTAAGAGTTAATTGTAAAAAATGTTGCAATTAAATGACTAGAAAAAAAAAATACAGGTTAATATGCTCATCGAAGCAAAGAATTACAAAATCAAAAATTGACAGATGTGGATATCTAAATATACAAAGCTGCAAAATATCCAAAAAAAAAAAATCACCACCATAAATAATAAAAATCAATAGGCAAACAACTGGAAAGTAATGTTTTTGCCAGCCACAAATGACAAATAAATTAGGTGATATGTATTTGGGGGTGAGTAGGGAATAAACTGGTTCATACCATTTTATCCAGGAATTCCACGTCTATGAATTTATCCTAGAGGGAAAAAAAAAAAACAGAAAAGTACACAGAGATTTATATGGGAAGATACTTCTTAAATTATCTGTAACAGTAAAAAAATGCACATATAAACTTTCAATAATTTGACTTTTAATGGACACCTACATGATCGTAAATTACATATTCACTAAACATCACATTCTTGTAGAATATTTAAAAATATGGGGAATTGCTCCCAATATATGTTTAATGAATAAAACAAGTTAAAAACTGTATGCACATATGATCTTCATTTTGTACAAAAATACATATATCTATGCATTTATTTGCATATATTTAGAGAAAAGAAACTGACAGAAATTATGTTAACAGAAACTGTCTCTTGGTTAGAAGATTATTGGTAATTTTTATAGCCATCTTTACATTTTAACAAATTTTCTGCAATTAATATGATATTTTTATAATAACGGGGAAACCATTTTTAACAAGATGTTTTAATAAGCATATACAAGCACTGGGAGCACAGAGAAGAAAGTCTAGGAAAAGAAACAATAAAAACAAAGACTAAATACCAATGTAGACCAATGGAGGATCATGCAAAATGAACTCATTACGCACTATAGAAAGATTACATTATTTGCACACTAGTATGTATGGAATTTCTTATACAATATGGAGTCCTGGAAAATTTTCTTCACTACACCAGAGAACGATCACGTCCTTGGATGCGTCAGTCACTCTCCTTGCCGCAGTGTTCTGCTAGATGCCCCCTCATTTTGCCTCCAACATGCTCTGTCCCTTTCCCTCTCAAAACATGCTACCAGCAGACATGTTCAACTTGGGAAAATGGCCCATCTTGTGGACTTTCTTTTAAGCATTTTCAGTCTTACTTTTCCTCCCTCATTTCTGCTTTGTCATCTAACTCAAAAATCAATCTATATTTTTTTCTCCTTTCTTCTTGGTCAAGCGCCAAAACAATCTAAATTTCAAAGAAAGAAAGAAAAAACATTCCTTCACCTTTTTCTTTCTTTTTTCATTTCTTTTTCTTTTTTCTTTTTCTTTTTCTTTTTTTTGCAGAAATAGGTCTACAAAAGTATTCATATTTTTAGGCATATTTCAGAAACAACTATAAAAGCTTTGTTGATAGTAATCTCTGCTATCCTTCTCACATCCTTTTCAAAAAACAAACAAACAAAAGTAACACAGGGAACATTTTGTCTTTACTGCACAAGTTCATGTCCAAGAATACAAATAGTTTTTTCAGATAAAGACACAGTCACAATATTCATTATTTCTTTTTCATGAGTTTTCATCCTAAAGCCATATTTTAATCTTTTCTAGTCAACACATATTCATCTCTCACATGAAGCAATTAATATGAACATTATTACAGCTGCCCTCTTCCTTATTTCTTCTCCCCTACAAACATCCAGTCACACAATTTTCTTTATATATATATATATATATAATTATATATACATAATTAGGCACAGTATCCGTTTCTCCATTGCAAAATGATATTTTTCTCATGTTCTCCCCACACTGAGAAAAGAAACCAGATCTGAGAACATCTTGAATCGTAACACATTTCATCACGTCTAATCCAAACATCATAAAGCTGAGACACTATTCTGAAGGCAATTTCTCATTTTAGTAACATCTTCCTTACATTTTATTTTGGGAAATATCTTACCAGAATCACAAGGACAAGTTTCTACATCCCCTTAAAGCAACTCATTCACCATTTAAGAAGCAAGCTTTAAACTAGAAGAGTGACCGTGTAATACTTAGAATGTAATTAATCCATTTTCCCAGTGCCCCTGATTAGAATTAGAAAGTCCTACACAGTTCTCTATTATGCTGTTCCATCAAACTATGGCACTTGCTTTACAAAATATTTCTCAGCTACTTACCAGTTGCTTGCTCTCTGTCTCTCCATCAGCTCTGAGGCTGTCGCACTGAAAGGGTGGGGGGAAAGCCGCAGCACAACAGCCACTTGAAAATGAGCTGTGCTCTGCAGAAGGGATTAGCTCTATGGAAAGAAACAAAATGCCTTGAGATTATCCTCAAAAATCTTTCAAAAACATAAAGTCATACCAAACATTATGTGGTGAAATGTGTATGCTCATCAAAGGACAGATTTTAATAGCTAAACCTCTGATCCAAAACACACTTAAATTGCCTTGATTTCCAGTGGAACCCCTACAAGAGCATGGGCTTTTGGCTCTCCCGTCTCCTAGCAACAGTCTCATTTTTTTTTTTTCTCTGCAGTGGTCCTACTAGGCATGAGAGAACATTGACAAGGTGTACTCTCTGATGATAAGCATTAACATTCTGTTGTTCGAGATGCTCTTTCCCCAAGTAAGTAATAAAGAAAGTCAGGGATTCAATAACAAGGTCTCCAGAGGAAGATTTCTGATTCAAATGACATTCCACAGTGAAATGCAGAGATTGTTCTTGTCTCCTCCCTTGGTGCAATGTTGTCAGTAGACCCCTGCTCTTATAATGCAGGTGTGCTTAATGCCATTGAAGCTTACAGTTAAAATACTTAAAATGATAAATATTATGTTATGTATGTTTTACTACAATAAAAAAAAAAGAGGAAATCATCCATTCACCACACAAATGTGTGTTGAGTCTCACCACATTAAAAATAATTGCTGGGGGCAGGGATTTAAAAAGTTAATAAAACACCATCCATCTCCCTTCTAAAAGTTCATAATCTGACAGTCTGCACATATTGTGAAATAGAGGCATTTTGTTTAACTTATTTGTTTTCTTTCATCAACTTTGAGTAAAATTTATAACTAGGGTTGCTACATGATCTGCCTAATGCTATTGGACTCCGAAGTAGGTGGGGAAAGTAAAGAAATACATATTTCATTTTTAAATATGTAAATATATATTTGTACATCTCAACTTATAATGTTCACTTACCTTTACAGTGTAACTTTTATATTATTTTTACTTTTATTTTTACAAATCCACTCACTTCAGAACAACTATACAGCATTACATAAACTGTTTTTTAAATTAATTTAATTTTTACCAGATAGGAAATACCAGACAATACAGTTCAAGACCTTCTAATAAAAAATAAAACAAAAAGAAAAGAAAAGAAATAAAGAAACAAGATTAGTACCATTTACTGTGCATTTGTTATACATCAGACACTTTTCTAAGTATCAGATGATGAAACTGAAGAGATAATCATCACCACCATTGCACAGTTGAAGAAATTAAAGAGATTAAGTAACTGAACAAGGATATCGACCTTTCTTACCTAAAGCCCATCCTCCTAATCATCACTGCATCTTAAACATCAAAGTTATTCTGAATCACCTGGAGTGTTAATTTTTTAAAAACGAGGACTACAGTGATCTGTTTCTAAGTATTCTATATCAGTAGGCTTGGGGCAAGCCCAGAAATCTGCATTTTAACAAATGTTACCATTTGGTTCTGATTAGAAAAGCTAAATACAATCTTTATTATTGGTAATGTTATTGGAGAAGTAAATTCTAAAACTATGTACTGTAGGACACACAATCTCACACACATACACAGAACATATATATCCTGTGTATATATACTGTGTGGTTAGAGCAAATGAGTAAATGCATTGATGTTTTGGGAACCAGAGTTCTCACTATGGGAGAAAGGAGATACAAATATGGAATTTGAGAAAGTGAGGAGCGTCTTGAAGAAACCTGTGGTGATAGATTTGAATCGAAGATATTAGTACGAACTCGTGATTTTCTAAAACATATATTACTAGGTCTGTCCACGGAAAGGAAGCAATAATATCCCAGCAGCCATGAGTATAACACACCAGTAGCAATGAGTACATCTGATGTCCAGATGATGATTTCTAAATACTGTTCCCCACTAAAAGCAACCAAAGCCTATTGGAGAAATAGCTGATTCTATATCTGGGGCAGGAAAAGTACAAGATGAGCTTGAAACGTCTTGCACTATAAAGCACGGAACTGTTCAAAGACTGATGGGAACACAGCAAAAAGACAGGCTTGAAAGGGCTCCCATTGGCCAAATTTAGTACAATTTGAACATCGAAAATAATATAATAGTTGACTATAAACATTGAATAAAAAGAATCCATGAGTCCACAGTGATAGTAAAGAAAGTGATGATAGGGAAAAAAATCTCTTCTTTTTAAAAGGATAAAAGTTTATATATTTATAAGGAATTACAGAATTAGTAAATGACCATTTAGAAACCATCAGTGTAATAGGTAATTTATAGAAGGATCATCAATGCATACCAAAACCATTGGGTGAAATGTTGGGGAAGAGAATATTCACAGGATTTTAAGGTATCATTCATAGCTTACTGATTAAATACAAAAGAGGGAAACGAACATTTTCAATGTAAAGATATGGCATACACCAACTTAATCAATTGAATAAACTTCCCGTTACCAATAATAGCACAAAATGTAATGTGACTCCTGATGTGATAAAATGGGAAGCAAGCCTATGTAAATTCTTGCCAAAAATATTTAATCTGAATCTAATCATGAAAAACAATAAGATAAATGCAGATTGTAAAACATTCTAGAAGACAACTAGCCTGAACCCTTCAAACTGGAATTGTCATATTTTTTAAAGTAGGGGGCAGGGAAACAACCCTAGATTAAAGAAGGTTAAAAAGAGATATGACAACCAAATGCAGTGTGTGATCCTTGATTGGATCCTCGATAGAAAATAAAACAGCTCTAAAAGATATTTTGGGGACAATTGTAGACATTTGAATACAGACTATATATAAGATAATATTGAATCAGTGTAAAAGTCGTTTGGTATTATAATGTAAGCTGATGGACTTGTTCTCATGAGACACTGTTGAAGTGCTGGGAATTGAAGGGCCATAATGTCTACAGATTGCTCTCAAATGCTTTAGAAAAAAAATCATAAGACAGCTATGTAAAGGAAATGCAGCAGTAATAAATAATAATACAGTAATTGGTAAATCTAGGTCAAATATACACAGGTATTAACTGTGTTATTCTCTAAACTTTTCTGTGGGCTTGAAGTATTTTAAATGGAAAAAAAGTAAAATATTTTTATTAAAATTTAAATCCAAGAAATAAAGAAGAAAATACTTTCACAAAAATAATTATTGCACAACAACTATATGTAAAGTTAAAATTCATATACATTTTGGAATTAATGACAATCAGGTTTGTAATCCCTCAGTTAGAGGAGGAGTTTTCCATACTGACCAACTGCATGATGAATATTTGTCAGGAGCCACCCAGTGGTAAGATCTTGATTTGCCATGACTGAAGGATTTATAATGAACACTGAATTTGACAAATGGCCCATTAAATATTACTATAATTATTATTCTAATAAATAAATATAAGTATTTTGTGTTACTATGTATCAATATAGAAAAAGTTAAAATGTAGTTCTCTTAATTTTCAGTATTTGTTCTATAGGGAAATTCCTCTGCTGAAATGTCCTGACAGCCCTGTACCTCTCCACATAGGCCACATGGGCAAGGAACTTTGCATCTTGCTTCCTCCCTTAGTGTACAACTTCAGTCTGTAGAAACACTTAGACGTAGTATGGAAACAGCTCCTCCATGACAGAGAAACCCATTGCTCCCTGTCATCTGTCATCTGGCCCCTCTGGTTCATTGTCATCCTGTGGGACTAGAGACATGGGGAGCTGACACGATGATATTTTTGCTTATGTTGTCTATGTTAGTAATAAACTGTCTGCATCCATTTATGCTCATTGTATTCTTACTGGCTGAATCTAGGACAGATTAGAAAGCCAAACCTAACAACTCCTGCTGCTTATAGGCTGCTTAATTGCTTGACAAGAGTATTTTTCTTTCTCAAAATGAAAGGGACAGAGTTAGAATTTCCTGACCATTTCTGATTTGAGAACCTTTTAAACAGTAATATAATCTATTATAAAAATCATTTCATAAGTTTCATATGATATGTGATAACAATCAATCTTAAAGTACAGTATTAATTCCCAATGACACATGGGGGATTAAAAAATACAGTATTAATGACTTATTTAAATTTGTAGCCATCTAAAAATGTTTATTACATGTAAAAAATGTTGACGTTTAACACACACTGAGCAATATGACTAATAGAAAATAACAATTAAAAACTTGTGCAGTGGTCAAAACCAACAGAGCTAAGTCCCAGCTTTCAGCTGGGTAATAAACCAATTGAGTGACTGAGATATGGGTATTGTTATATAGCTTTGAAATGATTCCAAATGCTTCCATAGTTTGCAATGTGAATAATACATATTTTTCTGTGTATTCTCCCCTTCCTGGGAGAATGTGACATCTTATCAGACTCAATATGAGAGAACTTGGAGTGAATTCCTCCTCCCCTCAGGAATGCTACATCACACCTTAACAGACTTCCCATATGTGAGTTACTGACCTCAGCTGCTAGACTTTAAAATACGTATATAAACTCAAGAGTCTGACAGACACTTTGAGAGCTTAGGCCATGGCAGGGTTACACTCTGTCAGCTGCTTCTCTGAAGACTGACGGCATATGCTGTGACAGGCTACACTGTCAGCCGCTTCTCTGAACACTGAGAGTTCATGCTGCGACAGGGTGACACCCTCTTAGGCTTGGAGCTAATCTCCGAAGCCGCGCCTGCACACACAAGCACAGCCCCCTACCGTGGGGAGACATACAGATCTCTGCTGTGATGGTCAAGCTAGCCTCTAGTATAAAGGAACCCCACAAACTTTAATTAGAATTGACTTTCCACAAAGGCCTGCTTCCATCCTAATTGAGCGACTAGACTTTAATAATTTGGGAACTCACTCATTTTCTGTTTAATGTACCTCATCTATCGATTGTATTCCCTGTGAGATTTGTTCACGTTATTCCCCCCTTTAGCCATTGTTCACCTAAGAAAAAATTATCTTTCTATGGCAGTAAACCGTGTGACTTGTG